CCCTGGAGAACTAAGGTGTTTTGCTAAGGTTATTTCACAGCCAGGAGATACCAGGGGGTGTGGATCTAGATCAGCAGACACCTGAGGCTGTGCTCCTGAACCCGTGTCTGTCTTTGCATGTCGCTGGCAGAGGTGCAGTGCATGCACGAGACGCAGAAGCAGCTGCGGAGACTGGTGCATGAAATCGGCCTGGAGCTGAAGACCACCGCTGTCTGCTCCCACGTGCGGCGCACGCGAGATGGCTTCTTCACCCTGGAGGATGCCCTCCTGAGGACCCAGTGGGACCTGCACAGCATCCAGGATGCCATCCAGGTCGCAGCCCCCCGGGTGGCAGCCGAGCTGGAGAAGAACTTGAGGCTGGGGCTGGGCACCCAGCAGCTCCATGGTCCAGGCTGGCATGGGGACAACGAGGGGCCAAGCCCTGCCTTGGAAAGCTGGACAGCGGGTGGGTAAAGATCAGAGTTTTCATGAGCTGGGACGGACGACTGCAGAGAGAGTAGGGGAAATTTTGTTACATGTGACGTGAAACTTCGAAGCTGTAGGAGAAAACACTTGACCCAACTGAAAAGGAAAAACTTTTATATGGAGAAAAAGATGATACATGCATGACAGACTGATAAAAATATTTGCAATGCTTAATGAAGAACTGATATCCATAATATAGAAGGAGCTCTTATAAAACAAGAAAATTGGGCAAATGACATGAATCATATGTATATATTTAAAAATAAATCTAGCCTGGCCGGCATGGCTCAGTGGTTGAGCATCAACCTGTGAACTAGGAGGTCACAGTTCGATTCCCGGTCAGGGCACGTGTGGGACATGCAGGAGGCAGCCCGTCAGTGATTCAATGATTCTTTGTTGTTTCTTTTTTCTTCCTTTTTTTTTTTTTAATACACACACACACACACACACACACACTCTAGTGGCCCAGTGCACAGATTCGTGCACATTGAAAGGAAGTTAATTAGAATAAGTATTTTAATATCACTATTCACCCTTTCCTCTATAATAGCAGTGTCAACCAGATTCACAATCAACAATGACAGATCAAAACACATGTGTGCAATTGGCGCCAGCGAGAGCTTTATATGTATCGCACATGCACGAGTCAATTTAACCTTTTATATATATATAGAATAAACTTTCTCATTAAAAAAAAAGAAAAAATGTCGTAAAAAGATGACATCCAACAATGATGACCTGAGAAGATGGGTGATCTGTACTGTTAGTGGAAATATACAGCTATAAGCTTTTAGGAGTGATCTGGTCGTGTGTATCAGAATTTAAACTACTACCTTATGACTTAGTTTGAGGAATCTACTAACGTCGGTTGTAGAAAGTTACAGATACATAGATGTCGTAGCTACATTGTAATACAGTGAGGCCTTGACTTACGAGTTTAATTCGTTCCGTGATGGAGCTCGTAACTCAAATTACTCGTATGTCAAATCAAAAAGTGAACGAGTGAGACACGTGATGCTGGGCTGATGTGGCGTTCACTGTGATGTTCGCTGCACCAACTATTGGTAGGGTATCTGAAGCTGGCTCGTAACCCGAATTTTAGCTCGCAACTCAAAGCAAAAGATTGGCTGAGAGACGGCGGGTATCTCGGAAAACTCATTAGTCGGGACACTCATAAGTCAAGGCCCCACTGTAGTTACAAGTGGGAAACATGATCACCATCCATCAGTAAGGAACTGTTTAAGTACAGCATATACAGGATCCAAATATCTCTTCTGATACCGTCAAGAAAATGACCCCTCCCCCATTTTTCTAGCCATTTCCTGCCAATTTTATTTCTCTCGGCTTTGGATACTTTGCCCCGGTGCACTCTCTCTGTTTGGCCTGGTTGTTTTAACCTGTAGGCATGTGGGTATTTGCCACAGAGAACACTCAGACTCGGAGTGAGTTGGCCTTGGCTAGAGCTCCGGTTTGGGCCCTGAGGGGAAGCATTGCTTGTCTCTGGTCTCTGCTGTCGTCTCGGGAGAGGAGGCCCTGTCACCAGGGCTCCCTCACCTTCACTCCGGGCACCCGCAGCTCAGAGCAGTGCTGAGCAGATGTGGGCTCCGGGCTGTGAGGCCTCAAAAGCTCCCTTCTCCGTAGCATGAGCAGAATGATTTCGCCCGCCTCCCCCCTCCCCGCCTTGGGATTGTTGTGGGGACAAATGAAATGATGGTCGGGTGCTTGTCACAGGCCTGGCACATACGATGTTCTCTGTATGTTTATGTGAGCTGTCTGCTTGCTGTGGCTACACTTCTGAACAGGGACCTTAAAGGGTCGTCACAGCAGAGTCAGAGGCCTTCCCTCCCTTACATTGTTTCTCTGGTATAAAAATCAGCTGGAAAATGGGCAAACACGACCTCAGCCAGGTGATTAAAGGTCAACATCAACAGTGATAAGTCATGTTGTAGTATGTACTCTTTAAAAAATATATATAGCCCTAACTGGTTTGGCTCAGTGGATTGAGCGTCGGCCTGCGGACTGAAGGGTCCCAGGTTCCATTCCGGTCAAGGGCATGTACCTTGATTGCGGGCACATCCCCAGTAGGGGGTGTGTAGGAGGCAGCTGATCGATGTGCCACCCTCAGCGCAGAGGTATGTTCACTAACCCGGAGCTCTCTGAACCCCGCCACTAGGGCTCCACTCCAGACCTACCGAATCAGAATCCAAGAGTTTGGGTTAGAACCTGGATTCTCAAAGATCTCTCCATTCGCCTGTTCCTGACTGTACCCTTTATAATAAAATGGTAAACATAAGTGCTTCTTGGAGATCTGTGAGCTGTTCAAGCAAATATCAAACATGAGGGGGTTGTGGGAACTCCCGATTTATATAGCCCGTCGGTCAGCAGTACAGGTGACCGCCTGGACTCATAATTAGCATCTGAACCTTAAGCTGTGCAATCTGTTGGCTCCAGGCAGTGTCAGATTTGAGTTAAACTAGGACACCGTCTGGGCCTAATGAGAGCTGCAGAGTCGCTTGGTGTGGGAAACTCCACGTGCCCGGTGTCGGAAGTACTGCATGTAGAGGACAGTTTTCCTTCTCCTGTGTATGTGCTTAGCATGTGTGTGTGGAATGAACCCAAATGGTTAATTTTCTTCAGCAAAGTGGAATAATACCCAGTGTGTGACAAGTGGCTTCTTTCCTTGAACAGAGCGTGGCCATTTCTCCCTGTCTGCCTGGCAGGTCTGGCTCCTTCCTGCAGACCCTGTGGGGGTGGCCAGCTCACAGGCTCTCTGAGGAAGGCCCAGCTGCCACTGGAGCCAGGACTCTGGTGAAGAGCTCAAGCTAGGTTCTGTCATCTTATTTACCCTCTCGCGGTTAAGAGCCAGCGTGTTCGGTGTTTGTTCCTGCAGAAGGGCCCTGAGCCCTGGGCCTCTCTGGCACTTACAGGGATCACTTCAAGCGAAGGCAGAAATGAGCTGCCACACTCTTTTCCTGAAAGGCTAGATGCCATCGCTGCAAATGGCTCCCAGGGCCCAGGGCCCGGCCCGGAGCCTGGGCAGGTGTGGTGGTCAGCAGGCCAGGTGGCCTGAAGGGAAGATGATGACAGTGATATGAATAACAGCAGCTGTCATTTACTGAGGACTTCTGGTGTGCCGGCTCTGTGCTAAGAGCTTTACACTCAAGGTCTCAGCTGCTCCCACGACCACCTGACATGAAACTAACGATTATCCGCCTTGTATGGGTAAGGAAAGCTGCTCGGAAGAGACATCCTGCCTAGCAGAGGGCACCTTCGTCTGCATAGGACCTGCCCCTCCATGATTTCTGACCAAGCTGCTGGACGTCAGCTTAACCGGCATGCCTCCTGAATCTCTGCCCAGAGGTGATTTCAGACCTGTCTTCCCCTCTTCAGGGTCACCCTAACCGTGGCGAGGCTGAGCCATGAGCAGGTACCTCCACCTGTGCTTACTCGAGCCATATTCACTGCCACCCTCCTTCTTCTTTAGCATCTCCAGACATCCGACTACCACCCCCCTCCCTCTTACACCAGCCCTCCCTCAGACCAGAATCCCCAGGGAATTTAATCCCCATTTTACAGATGGGGAAACTGAGGCCTAAGAAGGTAATACTTGCCTGGGCCTCACAGCCAGTCAAGGGTAGGTTTGAACTGGTACTCTGGCTCCAGAGCCCATGCTCTTAATCTCTCTTCACCATGACCTCCCTATCTTGACCTTGGTGGGACCTAGGCCAGCCCTGAGTGGTGTCCCTAGTGAGATTTTCCTATTGAGACCTTGGAGCCAGGGGCGATATGCATAATCAAATCCTGTCTTAAAGTTGTGGCCTTGTTAGATAGGAAACGTGGCAATATATATTTCTGCACCTAGACAATTCAGAATAAAATCAAACAATACTTGGATTAGTGGAATCCAATCCAAAGGAAGGGAAAACTGGGTGGGGCAGAGGGGATTGGCAAATCTCAATAGGTAACTGGAACGCAGGCGACATAGGCGGTCACACTGAGACAGGCTAGTAAGCTAGGAAGAGGGCAACTGAGACAAAGTTAAACAGCAGTTTGCAGCTGTCCAGTAATCCTATTTTCCCTAAACCAAGGACACTTGAGAGTAAATCGTTTGCACTTCTCCCCAACCAGAGAGAAATGGCTTAAATCTCCCTACTCCAGGAAATCCAATTAGTGCCATATGCCCCCGCCCACCCCCCAAGAATTCCCCTAAATGTCCAGCCTTAAAAACTCCTCAAAACGAAGGTCATAGGGTGAGCATGCCCTTGCCTTCCTCTCCCTCCCACCTTCCCCCATTGGTAAGCATCTCAGGCTTGAAACCAGGGGAGCAATGGGCAGTTGCAACTCCCGACCCCCCACCCCCGACCCTCTCCCCAAGGTCCCCTTTTCTCTGACTTCTTGGTGAGCCAAAGCAGATCAGCCTACGCTTATTTCCCCAGCCGTTTCCTGTTTCACTGTCCCCAGCTTTAATAAATGCCCTCTAAAATTCACCTGGGCTTGTATTGTGAAAGTTTTTTCTACACAAAGAACCCACGCCCTACCAGCTGGCTCTAGGCAGACTCACTAAGGGCCAGGTCTCCTTTCCGGTAACAACATCACCTCATTTGGAGTCCTTATTGACACAGAGATTATATTATAAAAGAGGTCAGAGTGGCTTATCTTGAGCTCAGGATTGGGGGGGTGGGGGCAGGGGTACCCCTGAGTCATGCCCAAATATTTGGTCAACACGCAGCCTCAGTCTGCAGGGAAAAACCACCCCAAATCCCTTGGGATGGTAAAATGTTTTCCTTAGTAGGTGTTTTTAACCCTGAAAGGTTAGAAATGAACAATGATTGCTAAATTGTGCCAAATGTGTAAGCAACTTGAGATTTGTAAGTTGAGCTTTAAATTTTAAGTTAAACTATTGGGTTGATTTATTTCAAGAAAGACTTTAAAGCCAAATATAGTGCAAATAATTCCATGTAAGAAATGTGCTCTCAAGAACACTAGCAACTTCATTAACAAACCCACAGGCTCCCACATTTGCCAGTTGCCTGCCTGGCAACTGCTTTATTGTCTGTCTCCCCTCCTTAGAACGTAAGCTCCTCAAGGACAGGGATGTTTGTCTGTTTTCCTTACTATTGCGTCCTCATAGGTTAGCGCAGTGCCTGGAAAAATACTTGGGTGAATGAATGAATGCCCGAATAAATGAATGAGTATCCATGCCCAAATACTACAGCTTTCAAGGCAAAAGTTTTCT